AACAATGCAGGGCTTCATATGTCATTTCCAACACCTTAAGTCAGACCCAGACTTCAATTGGTAACCAATGGAGATGATACAGGAACAGTGTTATATGGACACATCTGCTGGTACCTTGGCTGCTCTATTTTGCACCAGTTGAAGCATCCAGACCATCTTAAAGGGTAACTCCATGTAAAGAGCGTTGCAGTAGTCCAAATGGGAGGTTACTAGTGTGTGTGTCACTGTTTCCAGCCTCTGTCTCTCCAGGTACAGTGGTACCTTGGCTCACAAACTTAATCCATTCCACGACTCTGGTCATGACCCAAATTGGTCATGAGCCAAATCAAATTTCCCATTAAGGTTCAATGTAAATAAGATTGATCTGTTCTGTAAATTTCTTTTTAATCACAGGGAAGATGGGCGCAATCACGGGCATGCTCGGGGGGAGACGGGCATGATCACAGGCACACTCAGGGGGGGAGATGGGTGTGATCATGGCCATCCCCCCCCCCCAGCATGACCGTGATCACTCCTATCTTCCCTGCAGGAGCACAACTGCAAACGCGGCCATCTCCCCCGCCCCCCCCGCACGACCACATCGCACCCATGCAGGGAAGACAGGGACAGGCACGATCGCAATCATCACCCGATGTGGAGTTCGGAACCTGAGGAAAAGATTTTCCTAAATTTCTGTTCACAACCCAATTTGGTCGTGAACTGAGGCATTTGTGAGCCGTGGTACCACTGTACATATATATGTTGGCTGCCTCTTTAAATGAGCCATGTGCATAGCTAGTTGGTTTGTTTTGGTATTTCTGTGCATTTTGTCAGAGTTTTGTATACATATATGGCCTGGTGGTCTCTCCTCCCCACCCATTTTTTGGTGTGAGGTGTGCATTGCCTGGGGTTGTGTGTATGTGCATGTGCGTGGTTTGTCTGATATGCAAGTGTTTTATCAGGGATTTTGTGTGGATTTGGTGGGAATGCTTCTCAGAGCATCATCCGATTGTGCTCGGTGAAGTGGGCATTTTGCTATGCCTTCCGGGAGGTGGGAGGAATAGATGCAATTTAGTATTTTGGCCCAGATTCAACTTTTGCCTTGAATTCATTTCCTTAGCTGAGTATTATACCTGTGTATCTCATCTGTTTGCTTTCTGTAAAAGACGATAGGTTAGAAAGAGCGGTTTTGTGATTTGGAACTTGGAACCTGTCTCTGCCTTATACTTTGGTCTTAGGAAAGTTATTTTTCCTTTAGTCTACCAGTTTGCCTCCAGGGAAATGGATATTTTGTCATTGGCCGAACCCAACAGTGTGGCAACCATTTCATGCATTGGCAAGCTTCCTTGTGGCAGCCATTTTGTTAGATGCCCACAACACCCCCCCCCCCAATATACAATTATGCCCACTAGTCCCAAAAGGATGGGGATCCCTGCTTTAATATATTCAGGCCACATAAGCAGAGGAGCATTTGAATATCTATTTCTTTTAAGATAGTTACAGGGGAACAGGAGGGCGGGAACAATAGGAAAGCTAAACACATCATTTTACTTTTCTTTTAATTGCAAGGCATGCTGGTTTAGGGGTAACTGCCCGTATGTATCTAGAACTTACTAAATCTACAGAACGAATTGCCTGCAAAGGTAAGCTTGCTTTGATCAGCCCCTAATGAATAACATGAATACCATGAAAGATTTGTATAAATGAATAGTCTATAAATTATTGTGTCGGTATTAAGCCCCTAAAACACTGTGCACTTTTCACAATGGTGCATGTGGGAATTGCATTTGTGGTCTGAGGATATCATTAGGCCTGCTTTTTAGGTAAGATCTCTATTTTAAACTACCACTGTCGAGGAGCTAAATAAAAATACATCTTTGTCTTCTGGAACCACATACCTGTGATATATTGTCCACAAGAAAGAGAAACTACAAGTCATAAACCAAGAACTTGAGAACAACTTAGAGCTTCCATTCAGGTCTCTGGAGATATTCATGAATACTCCAAAGAGTGCACTTTGATAGAAAACAGCCTGAGCGTGAAGCCAGCAGGAGCAAAAGTGTGCTGTATTTCTTGGTTTCCTAAGCAGGGAAGGTAAAGTGCAAAATAATGCAGAGTGGAATATATACTGATGCAGCGTCTTCGTGGTTTGGGAGTCCTTCTGCAGTCAGCCGTGCCCCTTCCATGTCAAGCTGGAAAGCGACAGTCCACTGGTTTCCCCTTTTGCGAGAGAAACCAGACCTGGCCTCAGTCATCCATATGCTAATCACGTCTGCATTTGGTTGCTATAACAGACTGTATGTGGGGCTGACTTTAGAGGTATTGTAGAAGCTTCGCTTGATACCAAATGCGGCTGCAAGAGTTCTGAGCTGAGACGGTCATTCATGTGATTCTGTACCAACCATGTACCAGCTTCATGACTTGCCGGTTTGTTTCTGGGCTGGATTCAGGCTGCAGGTTTTAAACTTTGAGGCCCCAGACAGCTTGGAATAAGAACTGCCTTCCTCCATGTGCACCTGCCCAGCATCTTTTCTTTATTTTTAAGGCCCCGCTTCAGATTCCCCCACAGTCTCTAACACAGGAGGTAAATACCCAAGAGCCACGGTGCCCAAGGTTTGGAACTGCTTCCAGAAGGAGAGCCAGCTGTAGCCCTTTGCATCTCGCTTTTCGAGCAGTGATGCTGCTGCTCAGTGCCGTTTTTAATAGGTCTTTACACTTTTTTGCCCTTTTACTATTTCAGTTTTCAAATGTTTCTGTGGGTTCTATTGATGAGGATGCTATGTGTCGATGCTTATGTGTTTTTATTTGTGCTGTGAACCTCCTTGGTTTTGCTGTAGAGAGAAGCACAGATCCGCATTTCTCTAAAAGCTTGGGGACAGCTGCATGCACACAATACAGGCCTGCATGTACCATGGTCGGCAGCTACCAGGGGCCCACGGACTCCCTGCACTCACCACCACTGCTCCTGTGCGTCCCCCGGAAAGCCGCACCAGCAGAGGAAAGGGGACAGTGCTAGGGAGCCAGCCAGACCTAAATGCCAGACTTTGTGAACTCCTTGGTCAGAGCCAGGCATCGTGAAGACTGGAGCGGCGTCCCAGGAGATCTCCTGTGCCATGGGCAGTCTCCCATAGCACTTCTCCCGCAGAATAGCTGCCCATGCTGGAGGCATCCTAGAACAGTGGTTTTCCCCAGCTGGGGACTGGCAAAAGCAGGAGGACCACCTTGAGGACCACTGAGGCAGAAATAAACAGCATCATACACATACTACAGAATTCTGTGTATTCGTCTCCAAACACAATACCAAAAAATGGAAATTCTCCAAAACAACCAGAAACCGAGCAACAGAAGATGTCAATAAAAGAATAAAATAGGCACGGCGTGTCTCCCAGCCGTTTCCCATGGAACCGTCTCTCCCCTCCCTGGCAGCACCAGTGCACCCCCCACCACCACCACAATTGTAATGCCAACCGAGGAAGAGGTAGTAGAGCACAGCCCGCCCCCATGCTGGTCCACAGCGAGTGGGATGTGGCCACCCCACGGACTGGCAGAAAATCTCCCGCAGACCGGCGCCGGTCCCCAGACCGGTGGTTGAGAAGCACCGTCCTAGAGGCTTGCCTGCAGCACAGACAGTGCCATGGGACAGCCCTGTGGCTGTGAAGAAGGCCCCATCAAGGCCAGGCGGTTCACAGCAGGCAGCAGCAAGTGCAGGAGGGGCCAGGCAGGGGAGCAGCAGGAGGGGTGCCAGTGGCAAAAGCAGTGGGAAGAAGCGAGGCGGCTGCCTTCAGCCGCATTCTGCCCAAAGGCGGCCAGAGGTCCAGCTCTGGCCCTGACACAAGGCGCAGTTCTGTTTGCTGTCCCCGTTACGAGTGATGCTGGCTTTTCAGTGGAAGTTATAGTTAAACCTTTTAAGGGGAAAATGACTGAAACAACTCACAAGTGCAGAGTCTTGATAGTGGCATGTACTTTTTAGGGTTTTTTTAAGTCTTGGCTAGTCTGGGACCTTGCACATTATTGTATTGTATTGATATTGATAATGCACTCTTTTCCTGCAAATTACATTATCCCCCTCTGCATTTTATTCTCACAACAACCTTGTAACGCAGGTTAGTTTCAGTGTCAGCAACTGGACCAAAGTCACCCAATGAGTTTCATGGCTGAGTTGAGATTTGAACGCAGATCTCCAGAGTCCCGATCCAGAGCTCTAATCACCATCTCACACCAAGCTTCAAAAATACGGGGTCTTTCCCTGGCTTCATTCAGGACTTTGGAATCATTTGAAAAGCTGTGGAGGACCTCTTGTTTCCAAGTGTTTCCAAAGCTTTTTGGAGGATGACAGATGTAAAGTACTGCAGACATAAATAGAAAAATGAACATGAATTCTTGGTGCACCATGCTAAGTATGGAGCACTTACGAATTTGGGTGAAGTGGTTCACTTCAGTCAGGAACAGTAGCAGACTGTGGTAAAATGGGTGACAAGAAATTACATAAGAGGAGGAGGAAGGGAGGGGAGCATGTGATTCAACAGCCTGAGCTCCTAGCTCGACTTATATGGTTATTTATTCACCCTCTTTGGTTGTCAAAACAAAATGTCAGCTTTGTGAACTATTTCAAAAATGTTCCATTATCAAAATAAACCTGTCTTTTGCAGAGTTCTGTTTCCAAGGAAACAACTCATAACCCCCCCTTTAAAAAGTTGCCTCTGTAAATCCACTTCCACAGGATAGTAGTTAATGCCACCACTTTGAAAGGGAATTGGGAAAATGCTTGGAAGATAAAGCTCCTAGTCCTGGTGGCTATATGCTATGTCCAGTATCGGAAGAGGTATGCTGGGGAAGATAGGCAAGAGGGTACTGCTGCGTTCATTTCCTCCTCGGAGGTTTCCATTGGGCATCTGGTTGGCTCCTGTGTGAGCAGAATGCTAGATGAACCCTTGGCCTGACTTAACGCGACTCTTATACAGTTATCAGATGTTGCTGGGTTTTTTTTAAACCTCCTCATGTGTTTTCTTCTTCCTCCCCAGTTTATTTGCATTGTTGTCAAAAAAACACAACAAAGTTTTGGAACAAGCCACACAGTCCTTGAGAAGTTCCCTAGCTTCAGATGACACTCCACTTCCAGATTACGTGAGTACTGAGCCTGGCATCGTAGGGAACGTGTCAAAATGGCATCCCCTAAGTCTGCAGAAAACTATCACAGCGTATAATGAGCTGGCAACTACCAACATGAAAATATAGGTGTGTGTACTGATGATATCATGTCTGAAAAGCAACGAAAAAAAGTTAAAAAATACATTTGCAAATAGGAACATAAAGAACCACAGCTATTCACAGTGGAGACATTGGCTCTGATCTGGTGGCTTGCAGTTCTCAAGTGTTTCCGTTTGATTGCCGTTTGATTGCCATGGCAGGGGAGACAGTGCGAAAAGTATTGCCAGCAAAGTACTGCAGGATCCTATGGAAGAGAAGTACCGTAATTCTTCTTTCTAGCCAGCATCTGTCCAATAACAAACATACCCACAGCTGTAGATTTTCATGCAGTTAACTTTCTAGTTAGTGGGCCCAGTAGATGGTGTTCTAGAAATAACATGCCTTAGAAACAATACAACTTGCAGTAAAATATACTGGAATATAATTTTTACTCTATGCTTGTCTCTTGGTGCTTCCAGTCTGCTAGCAGATATTAATATATTTTTCAATATATTTGTTACATCCAAACTTGCTAAACTTTCTGGACTTAGTGGGTGCACTGCTTTTCAAAAATTTGATGTTTCTTTTAAGTCTTAATATACCACATGAGACTAATTCAGTTCTAATTGTGCTTTAAAAAGGCATTTATATATGACTGTGATTCCTATTAAAGCAAAGCAGTGCAGATAGACAATATGTGCATTAGCTCTCTTGTGCCCATTTGTTGTGTCTGTGATCTACACTCTTAGTTTCTGATCTAGAAAATGATAGGTGCTGTGCAGATACCTTTGTAGATCTCTTTAGCCTGATCCTAAATGTCTGCTTTCTTTCTGTCTTTGGAAGCCCATGATTCATTATTCCAAATGCAGTTTAGCAGATAAACAATCAAAATGTATTTCTAGAGAGCATCTTTTCCCCTTCTTTTTGTTTGGCTATAGTAGCCGTTCCACAGATTCAGGGAGATGTGATGGTGAAGTGGGTCCATGCCTCTAGTCCTGTTGAAAATATTAAAAAATTTTCCTCCTTCCTCCCATGTTGTCTTAAACTTCAAGCCTGCAGCCAGTGTCTCTCTTGTTTTACCAACTGTACGTAAGCTGCTTTGGCTGAAAAGCAGGAAAAGGTACATAACATAGATAAATCGCGAGTACTCTGCTCTTCTGCTGACAAAAACAATATCATATAATTAAAGCAGTAAATATAGGCTGTTTCAAAAGGTGGCAGCAATGGCAATTTCCTGCTTTTTCTTCTCATGCCAACAGGGCTGTTGGTGCTGGTGGCCTCTGTGCAGGCAGACAGTGCCAGATCTCAGGTGGCAGAATGGAATGCTGGCAGGTCCTTTACTGGCTGTGTCCCTTTCTGCTGCTCACACTAGCAAAAAAAAAAAAAAGGCGGGGAGTAGTGATTGGGGTGTGTGCCTATGGAGAGATGTGGCCCAGAGTTTGCTTTGGAAAGGGCCCTGATAAGGTTTGGTCTGCTTGGAACTCACCTGCACAGCTCAGATACAAAACAGAACCTTGTTTTGCAAGATGTGTATCTTCCTGTGTATTTCTTGTAACTGTAACAGAGAAGCAAACGACTACAACCTTTTTGCTTTTTGACAGAATGGGATGACATTTGTGGGTGTAATAGTCCTTTCTAGAGGGGTGAAGCCTGCAAAATTTCAGGAAAATAATTACAGGGATTGTTGTACAATTTGTCTTTAAAGTGTGTGTGCATGTGTGTATGTTTTGAGCAAAGGAAACTGCCAGCAATTTTTGTTTTATTCTGTTGCGGGGCTGGGGCTGGTAACTTATTTCCAAGAAATTAGGAAGGCTGGATCAACAAAAAACAGTGTTTCCAAGTTCTGCTCCAGCCAGATTGATGACACTCAAAGCCATGGAGAACTCAAGCAGAACCAAAAGGACCACATTCCTCCTGTCTAGTTCTCATCTGTGCATCAAAGTGATCAGATCATTCTGTGTCGCAGGTCTGAAGCCAGGTTGAATAGCTCTAGATAATCCGTCTCATCCAGAAACACCTTGTCCAAGACCTACAATATGGGATCCTGGCTGGAACTTAGCCAGTGTTTCTGGGTTTTGGAAAGATTTTTCTAAAAATAAAACACCGTCACTGCCTCATACCTCCTCTTATAGGCATAATGGAGTCACACTTGGTTGTAAAATGTGTTATATTAACAAAACCGTTACTCATCCCACCACCCTTCTGGTTCTCCAAAGGCCTTTATGAAAGCCGGTTTTTAGTCAAGTGTGTACCATACTCAGTGTTAAGGCAAGGGAGGCTTTCCTAAAGTTTTTACCACTATTCTTCATGGTCATCCATTGTATTTTATTTAGGGGTGCTATGAATGGGGGAGGACATGAATTCATTGTGGAGCTTATTACCAAGTAGCCATGCATAGGACTGGACTGTAAGGGAGGGTATCTCAAGCATATCCATTTGTTGATTTTGTACAACTTAAATATAATATAGATATAAATTGTACATAAATGTTCTTGAATTCTAGAATAGCTTTTCGTTTTGTTAAGTTTGGTTATATTATAATCTTACAACTGATTCTGCTTAACTACTGGGCAGATGAACCCCGTGATCCATCAACAAATGCCATAGAATACTGCAAATCTCCTCCTCCAAGGTTGGAAACAAATCCCACCTTGAAAGAGAGATTCAGGTTGCTGCTGCAACCTTAGAAAGAATAGTGAGAAAAGGAAGGGGGAAAGAAAGGGTGGGAAGGGGAGAGAAGATCCATAAGCATCATGTACTTGGTGCCCAAGCCCAGCAACATGCTGCCCCTAATCTGGCTCAATAGCCCACCTAGCAGAAATCATTTTATAAAAGGATGGAAATTTTTAAAAAAACGCTACTGCTGCTGACGACAGTATGGCCGGACACTGGATTCTTCTGTCTAGTGGGCAGTGAATCCTTTAAGATTGCACCGTAACTTTGGTGTTTAATATAGAAAAAGCTCTAAGTAAGCAAGCAAAAGAACAAAAACTGGAAACGCTCCTTCATCAGCCTCTAGTGAGTTTCAGCTTCCATGCACATCCCTGTTCCAAAAGCGAAGCAGTCTCCCTCTCCTGTACACACCTTTTGTCCTACCAGAAAGTACCACACCGTGAACAAAATCAAGTTGGGCTTCTCATAGGTCATGTGTTTGCCCTATGTTCGGACATTCAGTGACCACAGCATGTGGGGATGAAGACTGAAGAGGCATGGAGACTCCTGTCTGACAGTGCAAAACCCCCATCCCTACAAATAGGTTCAGTTTTAATTGCAGCGTGAAAATTATTTCCACCTTTCAAGGTACAGGGAACTAAAAATCTGTATAAAGGTAAAGTGTTCTCATTCAGAGTTCAGCTATGATAGATTTGTGGACACTAATTTCCCTCCTGTCAGAAGACTGAAATTTCTCTTACCTGCTGTGGAACTCGTGATGTAATTCGGTATCCTCCCCTTGTATTATTAATAATCCAAATAACCCCACCGATGTCGTTGCTGGGTGAGATGCTTCTTGCATTCCCTTTCTTTCTCGGCTAATGCTACATAAAGGAGTCAACGAAGCCCCCTATTTAGATCCATCTTATATTTGTCTATGGTAAATAGAAAGCAGCTGCCAGTTTCAGCATCTAACTCTTGAAAAAATTTAAACCCCTCAAGCATCATCTGGAAATAATATAGCTTGTAAAACAAAGCTAAGAAGAAAAAGCAATGTTTGTTTTATGTGGGATGAATGACTTCAGTTGGGGTCCTTCTAATTTGGCCATTAGGAGGGTTATTAAAAAGCAGTATTACAAAGGTGGTTTCAACAAAAAGATTGTTTTTGTTCTATCTTGTTATTATATTTGATTATAGCCAAAGCAGTAAGTACTTTATAAATAGCCCTTCATTTCATTCCCCCAGCAGAGAAGCAAAAGACCAGTAATCTTACTCTGTCTGTGCATTGGTGGATGCTAAATTACTCCCTTATATTATTTTAGTTCCTTAAAGCAAATCGTGTTTTAGAAGTCATATTTAATTTCCCCTTATGTGCTTTGGAATGTGCAGTGAATTGCGGAATGATAGCACAAAAGTACTAGCTATTTTTTAAGCAAGCTAACAATGCTAAAAGTAGAATGGTATAGGAATGAATGCTGTCCTTTTTGAGGAAACCGTATTAGGTTCACTGTGTGTTGGCTCTAGACCACATGATACAGACACCATTCTGGGGTTACTAAGGCCAAAGCCTACTTGGGAGTAAGTCCTCCTGAATACAGTGGGGCATCTGAGTAAAATAGTGTGCAAGTGGACTGTAACAATGTCAACTTTGCTTTACTTGGAAAATGTCAGAACATCACAATCTTAGAAGAACATTTTGACAGTATGTGGACATGCAAGGAACTGCTTTCCACCAATTAAATCAAGTTCTTTCAATTGTTCATATAAGGAGTCTTGCTAGGAAGTTGATAAATTTCCTGTGTTTGCTGCCTGCCTGGAGACTATAAAAATGGTTAGCAGAAGGGGCTGTCAAGCACACGGCAGGCCATGGCACAGAGTGAGTGTATCTGCTCTGACAGGTCATAGAACATGCAGACCTGTTTTGTGCTATCTTAGATTAATGGTCTATCAGTTCAAATATTCTCAGCTGTAATAGAGGATCTTGAGGGTCCTAGGCTGCAATCCTTCCCAGTCCTGGCATCTTTTTTTTATTGGAGTTTGCAGAGATTACAGCTTGAGCGTCGAACATACAGAATATATGTTATGTATTTATCTATATTATGTGTTAATATATGTTAATATAAGAATATATATATATATATATATATATATATATATATATGCTTCTGTGCCGTGGTAAAGCCCCTGGTGAAGCCCTTCATGCATGAAGGGAAGGATTTGGACAAAGCAGTAAGCACTTTTGGCATAGGAGGCTTTCCCAAAATATCCTACTTTATGTGGAGAAA